GAGCTGTCCCCGACGCCGCCCCCCACCCCCTACCCCAAACCACACACACACCTAGTGCCTCTTTTTCTCTTCCAGGCTGGGAAGTACATTTCTATCTCTTCATCCCTTCCTTAAGTAAGTCACAGGGCATGTCCTCTGCCCTCCACACCCACCTTCCTGTGGCTAACCCCTTCTCTGCTGGTTCCTGGACATCTGCATCAATAAGATTCTTCTGTCTCCCTCAAAGACCTTTTTTTTTCATTTTTTTTCTTTTTATTAGTGAAACACCATGAAGTACAGTTGTAGATTTGCAATTTTTTGTGCTTGGGTTTCGATTATACAATGATCAAATACCCATGCCTCCATCAGTGCCCACTTTCCACCACCATGGATAATATCCCTCCCCCCCGCCCATCCCCCATCCCACCCTGCCTCTGTGGCAGGGCATTCCCTTTTGTTCTCTCTCTCCTTTTGGGTGTTGTGGTCTGCAAAAGAGGCTTTGAGTGGCAAACATGTTCAGTCCATAGTCTACTTTCAACATGCATCTCCCCTCTTGGGAGGATCCTTCAAACACCCTTTATTTGGTGCTCCCTTCTCTATCTGAGCTGCCCTTTCCCCTAGAATGCCCGCAAAGACCATTTTTTTCCTCAATTCTGAAATTTTGAATCCCCCACACTTGGACAAGATCTGGATCAAGATTAAAGACTTTGGGGCTAAGCAAGGTACAGCTGGTAGGGAACTTGCCTTGCATGCAGCCGGCGCCTGGGTTTATCCCCAGCTCAGTTAGGAATAAACCCTGAGCATTGCTGAGTGTGAACAACAACAACAAAAAAATTAAAGACATAAAATTTTTGTTTTAAATTTAGTGCTCAGGGCTTACTCCTGGCTTTGTGCACAAGGATGGCTTCTGTCAGGGCTCGTGGAACCATATGAGGTACCAGGTGTGGAACCCAGGTTGGTGACATATAAGACGAACGCTTAAGACGAATGCTCTACCGGCTTTACTATTGCTCCAGTCCTAGATTAAAGACTTTGGTTTCTTGAATTTTCTCATGAACTTGGCTTTCTTACATTGAGGGGTTGGGATCATCTCCAGCGGTGCTCACGGTTTATTCCTGACTCTTAGGTGCTTAGGAATCACCCCTTGGCAGTGCTGGAGAGACCTTATGTGGTACTGGGGATATAACCTGGGTCATCAAGGCAAGCCCTTTAACCCCTGTACAATCTCTCTGACACCTGTTGTTTATTTATTGTTTGGGTCACACCCGGAATGCTCAGGGGTTACTTCTGGCTCTTCACTCAGGAATCACTTCGACAGTGCTTGGGGGACCATATGCGATAACACGGATCGAACCCAGGTGTGCCACATGCAAAGCAAGCGTTTCACCCCTTGTACTATCTCTCTATCCCGCCCCCCCGTTACTTAAAGAAAAAAATTTCCCCCTTACCTCTGGGAAGCCTCGTGACCAGGAGCGAAGGGGGTGCAGTTCTCAGGTTGACCACCCGAGGGAAGTGGTGAGCAGCCTCCGGGCCGGCGGGCTCTGCGGTGCTGAGACACCTGCTGTGGACCCAGATGGCATGACTGGGGTTTCCGGGCCTTCCCGGTCCTGATCTATTGGGCGCTTGCCAGGGCGGCCTGGGAAGAGCCTCCCCATGTGCCCATCCTTGCCTCTCACACCCCAGCCTCGCCCTCTTTTCCTCTTGGGAAAGGTCATGGGGTCTTGCGGGGCCAAGGGTGGCAGAGGGCGCATCCCCTCCATTTTGTGTTTAAAATGAACATAATCGTTTCTTCTCCATGGGGGTCTTTATAGTCAGCTTTGTGGCTGTTTTTTTTTTCCCCGTTGGCTTCTAGGTTTCACCATGCTTAGAAAGTCTTCCCATCTCCAAGACGATTAACACAGTCATCTGTTCTGGTACATTATGGTGTGATTTCTATATGGGCTCCACCTGGAATTTATTTTGGTGTCTGGTAAGGATAAATCTTTCTTTTAATTTCCCCAAATGACTCTGCCAGTTATTCCACCACCACCCTCACCCCCACTTACCTAAAGTGCTATCTTTATCATCTACTGAATTTCCTTGTGTGGTTACATTCCATTTTCTTCCATTGACTCGTCTAGTTCAGACTCAATACCATATGCTTCCAAGACGTTGACTTTATAACATGATTTTGGGGGGCTTCCAGAAGCACAAGTAGGACTCAGGGCAACTTGTGGTGCTGGGAATTGAGCTCAGGGCCTCCGCATACAAGACACACACTCCAGCCACTTGAGTCATCTCCCCAGACCCAAGAATGTTTTGTTTTTATTATTATTTTTTGCTTTTTTTTGTGGAGGAGCACATCCAGTGGTACTCAGCACTTACTCCTGATTCTGAACTCATGGATCACTCCTGGTGGGCTTGGAGGGCCATTGGGGAGCTGGGGACCAACCTGGGCATGTCATGCAGAGCAAGCATCCTGGTCACTGAACTAGCTCTCTAATTCTAAAATGTTTCAATGTTGAGTTAGTTAAATCCTTTTCTGTTTCTCCCCGACCAGATATTTTACTTTTGGGTGTTTATTTTACTGTAGGCACCTAAGAATTAACTCTCACCCCACAATTCTTTTCTTTTTCAAAAAGTCTTTGGGCCACACCAGCTGTGCTCAGGACTTGCTTACACCTGGTTTTGCGCTGAGGGATCACGCCTAGTGAAGCTCAGGAGACCATATGGGGCATCATGGATCAAATCCAGTCAGCTGCATGAGAAGCAAGTGTCTTAACTGCTGTCTTAGTTCTCCCACCTGATCCCCCTTAAAGCCACTCTGGAGTTTGGGAAACCTGAAACTAGACATGAAGTGTACCTTAGAATGTTTATTTATGCAAATCCCAACTTTCCTGTGATTTGGGGGAGATAGCCATACCCAGTGGCACTTTGACTGTCCTCAGGGATCACTCCTGGCTGTGTTTGGGGAATCATATGCGGTTCCTGGGAACAAACCTGGTTTGTTCTGTGCAAGTCAAGCACATTATCCACTGTACTATCTCTGCCGCCCCATATATTTTGGGGGGTGGTACTGAGGATTGAACTCAGAATTTACATACAAGAGGCATATGCTCTGCCACTGGGCCACATCCCTGGCACCCAAAAATCTAACTTTTCATCCCCTGTGCAAAGGGGTCATGATGCATCAGATTCCCTGGTTTACTCGGGTCTGTGATGAGGCGCATGCTATAATTGCACAGGAGAACCTCCGTGTCTTCCTTTTCTTGTCCATTCTCACAAGTGCTGTTCTCCGCATCATTCACCTCCACTGTTATTTATACTCCTTCCTGGGCTGCTATTTTGGATCTCCCATTCTGAGCTCCCTTATGCTCCAGAGAAATCATTCCATATCACAGTTATAGCCCTGATGTAGCAATGTGTTTTTTTGTGTGTTGGGGGGGGTGATGGGGGAAACACACATACCTGGAGGTGCTCAGAACTTATTCCTGGCTCTATGCTGAGGGATCACTCTTGGCAGTGCTCAGGGTACCATATGTGGGACCAGAGATAGAACTGGGGCCAGCTGCATGCAAGGCGAGTGCCTTTACTTATGTATTATCTCTTGCATCTAACATCTTAATTATTAAGTGTATAAAACTGTGAGTCTGGTCAGCTGTGGAACCCAGTTTTAGGTTTCTGCATTGTTCGCTTTCAGTTTCCCTTTCTCACAGACCAGGTGGGAAGGGATGAGATGGGGTGAAGGTTATGTAGAGGAGGGTCAGCTCTTCCTGGAAGGGTCATCTCATGTCATAATTTTCCTTGTCTTTCCCACTGCCATTCCACTTTAGTCCAGGCATTCAGCAGAGGGGCTACTTAATTCTGCCTGAATCTAGCAAGCATTTAGGCAGGCAAAAAAAAAAAAAACTTTTGAGGAGGAGAGGGAAGGTTGGGGTCACATCCAGATGTTCTCGAAGAGGGCTTATTTCCAGCCCTGTGTTCACTCCCAGCAGGGGACCAAATCAGAGATGGCCTTATGCAAGTAAGCACCTAAACCCCTATACTACCTCTCCTGACACTGAGAAGGCAAATATTAATATTGAGCCCTCTGTAGATGAGTGAAGTTAAGAGTACTGGGACCCCATAGTGGAGCTGAGCAGCTAAGTAAGGCTAGCCACAACAAGACTGGCATTATTCTAGGAGAGATTTAAGACAACCTCCTCCTTAAGGCTCAGGCTGCCCAGGAATCCAGAGTGCTTATCCCATGCCAGGTCTACTGTAGGATCTCTCAACCTTGACATCACTTTCATTTTGGATGTCTTCATTCTGCTGGGGTGAGGCCTGTCCTGTGCATTGCGAGGTGTGCATTATTGGTTACATTCTTGATCTCTTCTCACTAGCAGCCTCTAGTGTGAGCATCAAACATATCTCTAGACACTGTCAAACGTTTGAGCGGTGTAGGTGGGGAGCAAAAACACCTTCAAGTTGAAAACTGCCCTACTGGGAGAAGTGGGGCGGTCAGGGCAGGAGGTTAAATCAGGGCAGGACCCGATGGGCATTTCTCTACCACAAAGTCTTTCCCTCCACAGCAGGCATTTGGGCAAGTGTTTTCTCTCTGCTTAGGGCTTCAGTTTTTTCCCATCTGTAAGCGGGATTTGACGTTTGGAAATCCTTTCCTTCTTCTCTCATCATCTGAGGGTTTGGGATGTGGTTCAGGATGAGAGTGAACCAGGGTGTCAGTGAGGCGCTGGGAGGGGACCCAAAGAGTTAGGAAGGATTGAAAAAGAACCGACGACGGTAGTGATGGAGAGGCGGGGCCCCCCAGGCCAGAGACCCGAGCTGCTTCTCCTGGGACCTGCTGGAGCCGGAGTCATCTTAGACCCCGCCCCCTCGGGACCTTATTAGCATAAGCGACCGCCAGCCCGGCTAACCCCGTCTCGCCCTCTCCCCAGGCCCCGCCCACCGCCAGAGGCCCCGCCCCGCGGCGCCTTCCCGGCCGAGGCCCCGCCCCCAAGGCCCCGCCCCCGGCTGGCCCCGCCTCCCTCCTCGCCTCCCGCCGGCCGGGGCTCGGGCTTTGCACCCGGCGGCGGCCGAGAGCGGTGGCGGCTGCGGAGCGGGCAGCGCCGGCGGGCGGAGCGGAGCTGCCCGGCCCGGTGGCGGGTGATGCCCCCGTGAGCCTCTCTCGCCGCCCCTCCCCGCCCCGCGCCCCTACCCCCTCGGAGTCCGCCGCCCGCCTGGCCCCGGGCCGGCCGCGCCTACCGCCGGGTCCGCGGGGCGGGGTCCTGGGGCAGCACCTGCCCCGCCTTGAGGAGCCGCCCGGGCGGGCGGAGAACCCTCCCGGCCTGGACCCCGGCCTCACCTCGGGGTAAGTCTGCAGGCCTGGCTGGGCTGGGAGTGGACGTGAGGAGGGGGCTGCGGAGGCCCGGGGACCGCGGGAAGGGGGAGGGGGCTCTGGACGTGAGGCGCCACGTAGGGTCTGCGGGGTGCTGGGGCGGGGGCCGGCGGGGCTGCACGGGCGGTGTTGATGCGATGCTCCCGGTGGGGGGTGAGGGACGAGAGGGGGACCTGGGACATTTGGACGCCTGGAGAATGGGGCCGGGGAACCTCCGAGTCGTGAGTTCTTTGCTGATGCTCCGAGCACCTGGGGCCCTGAGCCCCAGCAGCCCTGTCTCGCGTGGCATTTTTGGAAAGTGCTTCAGATGCCTCCTGGAAAGGGAGCTGGAAGCCAGCCCGCCTTGCTCTCTCCTGCCTGAGCCCGGGGTGAGAAGCTGCCACTCTTCTCCCAATCAGACACCATTGTGGTGCCCAAGGCGGCCCACCGTGATGCAGACTGGGTGGTGCTCACTCCAGCCCGGGCATGGGAGGGGGCCTGCTGGGCTGGGGAGGGTGGGCTCGGGGAGGCTTGGCATACCCCTCCTGGGCAGCCTGCCACCCCCCCATTCAGGAGGAGGCTGACTGCCAGTCGCCTAAGCCCAGCTCCTGTCCCTTTCTTGGGGCACCCAGCCCAGGGCAGGGGGTTTCGTCCCAGTCTCAGGCCTGCGAACACAAGGCAGACAGACCCCTATGCACTCTGATAGGGTGGGCTGTGCCAGACCCAAGACCCGGACTCTATGCTGGTGGCATTGCTGCCCTGCCCTGGGTCTATTTGGACATGTCTCTTTAGTGCCAGGGAGCCCTAGTGAATGTCTCTACTGTTGCTCCTCAGGGTCATTCTGGGCATGGGGCAGGGGGGAGGGCTGCTGTCCCCTCGGGGCTGTCCTCTGCCCTTGATGACTTCATGATTCATGGGTTGGGGCTGAGGTGGTAAAGAAAGGGCCATTCTGGGCTCTGCTTGGTCACCAAAGGGTTAACTAGGCAGCCCCACTGTTACTGCCAGCTACCAATTAGTCTGTAATCAGGCAGTTGCCAACTGTCCCTAGGGGCATGTGGGCAGCCTAATGGGACATTCTCTGTAGGGGGGTGTTGGGGAAGGGGTTTGTGAAGCCTGTGCTTAAGCCAAGCACCATGTCTTTCAGAGCTAATTTTCAGGGGCCTTTAGAGCCCCCCCTTCCCTTGTCTTCATGCCAGGCTGCTGACTTGGGGACCTCCAGGCCTGAGGTTCCACACCTATCCACTATCTGCCAGGAGATGAAGCCCGGAGTTCAGCAAACTTAGCTCCCAGGCCAGGCCCTACCACTTTCTGGCTGTGTGTATTACAGAAATCACTTGCTCTCTCTGAGCCTCCTTCCGTGAAACAGATCCAGCTGGGTTTGTGGTGACAAGTGAATGAAATGGTGCTTCTGAAGGCGAGGCCTCGCACTCAGGGGAGCTGATAACTGCTGAGCACAGGAGCAACCTCTGTGCCCGGGGCCTGATGGGACAGCAGGCAGGAGCCAGGCTGAGGACCCAGTCGGGACCAAGGTTCCTTCCCTGGGGCCCGTGGTCTCTGTGGGCCCGCAAGTACCGTCTGTGTCTTACTTAACTAGCGTGTCTCCCTCCCGCCTTGCTCACGGGCACTTCTGGTCCCTGGACAGCATGGATTTAACTCTGGAACCCAGGCTTGAGCTGCTACTTTCTGGCTCCCTCTATCCCTAACCCGGAGCTAAGCCCTGCGGGGGTCTGTCGGGGTCGGGGTCGGGGTGGTGTCTGCAGCTGCCAGAGCCGCTGGCCCTTTAAGGAGGGAAGAAAACAATTATCTGGCCTGGGCATTGCATCAGCTGGAGCCTGGAGGGTCCCTGGGGAGGGGGGGCAAGCTGGTGGTTGATTTCATTAGTGCCATGTGAGAACTCTCACCCCAGTCTGCCCCACTCCCCAGCCGCAGCCGCCTCCCCCAGGCTGCAGCAAAGGCCCAGTGACTCTCCCACCCCACCCGGGAGCACTGCCCTGGAGGAGTCTGACCGCACCCGTGTGCCCCCAGCCCATGGAACGGGCCGAGGTGGGGCAGGGTAGCTCTCACACCGACCTTGTGTGGACTTGGGGTTCAGGAGGAGCCGTGGTCGCAGCGTTTTGCTGACAGTGGGGGTGTCTGGGGGTGGAGTTCTCCCGCCCTGGCATTTTGGTGCCCTGGGGAGAGGCGACTTCTCAGGCCTCTCCCTGACAGAGGAGCTGCCTCCTCCATGGGGGAGTGGGTTTGGGTTTCCGAGCAAGGCAGCTGTCTGGGAAGGGAGACTCTCTGGACGCCGAGGCCACCTGGTACTTGGGCATCAGCAAAACCTGGGCTGAGATAACACATGCTCCCCTTCTGGACTCTGTTACCACCTCAGACAGGTGACCCCAACTCCCATGCCGCAGACCCCTCTGGAAAACTGGAAACATTGGCACGCCTTCTGGAAGGTGCTTGGGGATTAAAGGTAGTAACTGGACGTTCAGTGCCCAGCCCGGGGCTAGCAGCTGGAGGGTATATTCTATGTGGTCACACTTCTCCTTGCAGGAGTCTCATACCCAGAGCTCTGCCACTGGAGACAGGGTAAAGGGCAGAGATGGGAGGGGTGGGAATCCCTCCCGCCCCCATTTCAGAAGATGCCTCGGTCTCCCAGATCCCGGTGGGTATAGCCCTGTGACCAAACTGCTCCAGCCCAGGGAGCCCCCTTCCAGCCTGCAGAAAGCCAGAACAGGTCATTATATTATTGAAGGGAAAGATTCAGGGACCCTGGGCTGTCAGGAGTGGGGAATACAAAGGAAGGGGAAGGAGGTGCTAAGGCCTTGGTATGGGGTCAGGCCTGGTCTGGGACGAGGGCAGGGTGGGCAGGTGGCAGCCGGACACATAAGACGTGGGAGCTTGCCGGAGACCCAGGGCAGCTCCCAAGACGCATGGGATTGCCACATGACTGGATTGTGTGGCCCTCGGGCAGAGCCTTCTCAGGAGTGACCTTTTGCCCTCCGGTCCCACCCTTCCCTGTGCAGCAGTCTGGTCCCTGGGAGCCAGTTGTTTATGTGGCTCGTCCCAGAGGGAGGGGCTGGTCCCCATCCGCTGCTCTCTCTCTCTCTCTGGGCTGTGCCTTGTTGACACAGCTCGTCCCTAGGGGCCAAACTCTCCCTGCCTCCCTGGGGAGCCAGAGAGCAAGAGGCAGAGATCTGGCATCAGGCTGGCCTGAGTTCTCACCCCTGCTGGACAGTTCCTGAGGTGGGTGACCCCAGGTCATCCCACTCCCAAGTCACTCTGGCCCTCCTCTGGCCCTTCATGTCCTGGGCTGTAAAATGGGGTGATGTCATCTCTGTAGCGAGGATCAAAGGAAATGCCAGATGGAAATCACCAAGCCCCAAGCTCCCATCAGCTGGCATTTTGACGGTGGCCTCAGGGCTGACACCTACTCTGCCTGAAGCCAGACCCAGGGCTGGTTTCCTCTGTGTTGGGGCGGCCTCAATCAGGACCCCTGCTTGATGTGACATTCTTCTCTCAACACCTTGTAATTCTGATTCATTTTCCACAAGAGACCCCACGTTTTCATTTAGCACTGGATCCTACCTTGTATATGGCCCCCCAAAATGGGTCAGGGTCGGAAGGTGAAGAAAAGACACCTGCAGACAGTCCTCAAGTGGAGAAGGACTAAGGAGGAGGGCATGACTGACTGTCCCAGGTGGACGGCTTGTTAATAATAGGAACATTTATTCAGCGCTGACTGTGTGCACCGCAATTTGCAGGCAGGCGCATCTTCAAACAGACCAAGGAGGGAGGCACTCATAGGATTTCCGCTGCTGAGGGGAGGAGAGTGTCGTTCCGTTTCTTGGCCAAAGTCTTAGAGCTATCAAATAGCTCTGGAATTCAAACCCCAACTGGCCGCAGTGCGGACGCCTCCTCTAAGAGTGGCCCTGGAGCTGGTCTGAAGGAAGACGTGGTGCCCCGGAGGATGAAGAGACGGGTCCTGGCCAAGGGGCTGGGGCGGGGAGGGGGAGTGACTCCTCACCTGGGTAATGCCCTACAGGGTGCCAGGCCAGGGGAGGTGGAGCCAAAGCCAGAGGCTGCTTGGCTGGGACGAGCCTGAGTTTCAGGGTTCTGCTTTCCCAAGCCCAGAGCCTGGAGTCATCCTGCCCTCAGGCCCTGGTGCTCCCCGTCTCCTGCCCCCTCCCCAGGGCTGATCCCACTCGCAACCTTCGCCCTTCTGGGCACGTGGCTGCAGGGCGCACTGCTTCCGGGCCCACTTTTAGATGCCTCACAGCCGGCCTGGGTCCAGATCCCCGCTCTGCCGCTGGCACCTGCGCTGCCGCCAGCGTCCCTGGCTCATCTCTGCCACCAGCCGCCCACTTGCTCAAGCTGGAACGCTGCGAGTTCTCCTGGACACCTCCTCCCCCTCCCGCACCCCCACAGCCTGCAGCCCAGCTCCGTGGCGCCCGAGCCTCCCCCTCTTTGTCCACTGGCCCCCCTGCCCCCAGCCTCTCTGTCTCCCGCTCCCACTGCCCCTCGCGGTGAGCTCTCTCCTCACTCCTCGCGGGGCCTCGGCAACTCTTCTCCTTGCCTTGCTGCTTTGCCCCTCCCCCCCTTTGCTTGCTGGTACTCACTGCAGCCCGTGTTCTTCGAAAGATGAAAATGTGGATGTGCAGCTTCACACTGTCCAGTAGTTTTTGGAATCAGAGCTGGCCTGCAGGATAGCCTCCCCAGCCAAGCCAGTCCTTGCGCACCTTTTTGTGTTGCATTTTTTAAAAAAAGTTTTGGGGGCCACACCCGCTGATGATGCTCACGGGTTACTGGCGGCTCTGCACTCGGGAATCGCTCCTGGTGGTGCTCGGGAGGCCATAGGGGATGCCAGAGATTGAACCCGGGTTTGCCGCATGCAAGGCAAGTGTCCTACCTGCTGTTGTCCACTCTCTCCAGCCCTTGTGTTGCATTTCATAACAAGCTCCCTCATCCTGGACCTCAGGGCTTCCTTTCCCCCAAGTTGTCTCCTCCTC